GGATGGCAGGAAGAAATGGCAGTTTTGTTTTGGAGGCGTTAAAACGTAAAAGCCATTTCTTGCTCCTGTTAACCACTGATCGGAGGTCCTTTGCAAGAGTAGTTGCCAGGTTTATTTTGACGGATCTGTTAGATTTGCTACCAAGGAATGAATAAATTGTTGTGTCATCTGCATAAATACCTATTTGGGAAGTTCTGTCATAAAGGATATCATTGATGGAGATCTGAAACAGAGAAGGTCCAAGGATAGGGTCCTGGGTTCCCATGTTAGGAAGTAGTGATTTGAAAGTGTTCCCATTCACTATGAACTTCATTACTCGACCTCTTAGGAACGATTGGATTAAGCCAAATATACATGACACCGTAGCCGTCGATCTTACGTAGAAAGTCGGCATACCAGACCCTGACAAACACGTTGGGGATATCTAAAGTCTCCTCCTGAGCTTCACTATTCTCATCTAAAGCTTTCTAGATAACTTCAGAAATGGCCGTAAACAAGTCGGCGATAGATCTGGCGAAACGGAAGTCATATTGTTTGTCGGTGGTCCGAAGTAATTTGCTTATAGGGTTCGGCATTGATCAGGGCCTCGAATACTTTGCCGAAAAGAGGTAAGAGATTAATAAGGCGATAATCTGAGGCGCCAGGGAGTTCTTAAAGAGTGGAAAGCATGGTGTAGCAAGGCATTTGTTATAAAGTCTGGAGAGAACAGCAGCCAGCCAAGGCACACATTTCATTGGGACGACAGCAAGGATCCCATCACATCTGCTTGTTTGTTGGGGTCTAATTTTGAGCTGATGCCAGAACCTAATGTTGTGGTTATGCCTATGTCACTTTTAGATGAGTCTTAGATGTGTGTCTGTATAGGTGTCTTAATTTGCAAATAATCAAACCAATATCGAAGGGGAAAAAAGGTATATAAAAAAAAAAGAACCAAGAACATGTACCTCAGGCAAAAATAATAAAAAAACCGATACGAGTAAGCAAAATAACTAAATAAAGTGCTCAATACATTAAGAACATCAGACCTAGTTAAACCTAGAGAGCCAGACAAACCCACCAACGTTTCATCTAAGTGGATCGTCAGGGAAAGCTGGACAGTCTTCCCTGACGATCCATGTAGGTGAAACCTTGTAGGTTTGTCTGGCTCTTTAAATTTAATTATATATATATATTAACTGTTAAATAAGTGATCTAAAAAAATTTTACTACGTTAATAAAAACACCGATAAAAAAAATAAGAAACAAAAAATAAAAATAAATAAAAAGAAGCAAAATAATTTAACCCAAATAAATAAATAAACGACTTCCGGTAAATAACCGCCATAATAGACAACTGACAATGCAGCACTGACCCGTATATATATAAATAGCCGAGAAAAATAACAGCACACGTGGCCTGACGATTGCATATAGCATGAAACAGACTGTCGCCTCTAAGTGTTGACTTCTATGTTCACTTTTATATTTACACACGCTCTATCTCTGATATTCATCACTTTATCCCGTAAATATAGCACACCATAAGACTATATTTCTTCATATATATATATATATATATATATATATATATATATATATATATATATATATATATATATATTCTTTATATGCTATTTTTATAGATACAAATATTTAAGTAAATTCTGTTTATAATAAACAGAATTAACAACATTTACCGGCCTGGACGTACATTTCATAATATATGATATTATATATATATATATATATATATATATATATATATATATATAAAGGATGAAAGAAATTATGAAATAAATCTATAAAGTTGATGCAAAAGAAAAAAAAAGGAGGACGAAATAAAGCCTAAAAGAGAAAAGAAACAATAAAGGAAAGAAAGATTAAAGGAGAAAAAGAGAGGCAGTTGCAGAAGTCAGAAGAAATGTAGTAAACGGAAAGAGGAAGAAATAAAAAGTGAAAGAAAATATGAAAGCAAGAAAGAGGAGAAATGTAAAGAAAGAGTGAAAGAACGAAAAACAAATGTAAGATGAACAGTACAAAGAATGGCAAAAAGTCATGAAAAAATAGCGAAAGTGAGGTATAGAAACGACAATGAAAAGAGAAAATAGCGAAAGAGAGGTACGGAAGCTACAATGAAAAGAGAAAATAGCGAGAGTATAGAAGCTACAATGAAAATAGAAAATAGTGAAAGAGAGGTACAGAAGCGATAATGGAAACAGAAAGAATTAACGAGAATGAAAAAGCAAAAAGTAGAAAGAACGAAAACAATCGCAAAGTAGAAAAATAAAGAAGGAATGGACAGAAGAAAAGCGAATGAAATTAGGGAATAAAGAAAAATGAAAGAGTTAGAAATTAAATGAAGAAAACGATATAAATATAAAAGAAAGAAAAAAGCACGGCAAAAGCACGGCAAAAGCACGAAAGACAACCAAAGAAAAAGAAAACGAAGAAAGAAAGAAAAATGAAATCGAACGAGAAAAAGAAGCCTAAATGCATGTAAAAAAAAAGAAGAAAATAGACGAAGAATATGGAAAGAAAGAATATAATCGAAACAAAATGGGAAATAAAGACCGTGTTAACAGGCGTTTGTCAGCTATCCTTGCCCTGTGGCTATAATCTCATCTCACGTCGCCATTACCTCTTACAGAGCTTCACTGGATGTACAACAAAGAGAATCATGGAATGTGCTTGTATCTTCTAAAGTTCACAACCCCGGAAATGTTCCATTTAAATGAAACATTGATGCCCTACGGCAGTTCCCCATAACCCACTTCAAAAATAGATCACACTAGAACAGAGGCAGAAGAAAAGTGTAATAACAGAACAAATATGAAGTAGACTCAAAAATATATTTTGATATAAACAGGTTTCAGTTGCTTAAATAAGCTTACTGAATGCGATCCTGGTTTTTTTTTCAAATACGGTTGACATCCAGTCAAGCGCTCTCTCCTAGAAAGTGTAGATAAGGCCCTCTGAGCACAGTTGCAGTATCAAACATTGGTTGACTTTGGCATTGTTGAAGAGACACATGCGTGCCTGTGCAGGTGTCTACAGTAAGGATTGACAACACGAACAGATATACATAGTTGGAAACGAATGTTAGACAAATGGTATATATTTGAATAATGAGAAAATGAGAAAAGGAAAAACTATTCTTGACCGAGGCGTTACGTTATCAAAGAAAAATATTTATTAGGGACAAAACGCGTCGGTAAAGAATAATGTTTCTTTTGTCTTCACTCATATTGTATTCTTACAGATATATTTTTTGTCTCGCTCTCTCTCTCTCCCTATATATATATATATATATATATATATATATACATAAGTGAACAATGAAGTCAACACTCAGAGGCGACAGGCTGTTTTGTGCTGGACACAATTGTCAGGTCGCCTGACGATTGCGTCCAGCAGGAAACAGCCTGTCGCCTCTTAGTGTTGACTTCAATGTCCACTTTTGTATCTATTTTTTACAGACGCTCTATCTCTGATATTTAGCACTTTATCCCATAAATATAGCAGAATTTAAAACTATATTTCTTCATATATATATGCATGTTTCATTAAAAACGACAGACAAGGTACTACGATTAAGCTTTTTATTTAATTTTTCTTGTGTTCGAACAAGTGCTTCTTTTTTTGGGCACAGAGTGTGTAGAAACTGTTGAAATGTTCTATTATTACGAGCGATTTCGGCTATTCTTTTAGCCATTATCAAGGATGATTTTATCTTTCTAGTTTAATTGTGTGAGTTATATGTATGTTTTTAGTGTCATAGAGATGTTTTTATTTTCCGAACACAGTCAGCACATTGTGGCCGTGTTCGTAGTTAATACTGTTAAGTGTTGGCTTTTTCATTTTTATTATTAGGACTTTCATTATTTTTTATCTTTTTTTTTTACAGGTTTTTTACGTGTGAGTCGAGGAGGTATAAAAATCCACAATGATGCAGACATTCATTCGCTACACGTCACACGGTATTTCTACTTGCAGCGAGTCTTCAAAAGAATGCGTCACAATTGGTGGAAGTTCATGTAGGACCCTAGCAGGACTAAAACGCCACATCCGAGCTGCCCATATTTTAGGATCAATCAAGTGATATCATGAAAGTCGAGTCAGTCTTCATAGTTGGATGTTAGCCAAAGTAAGTGATAAAAAATATAATATAAAGAAAAACAAAGTTAATAGAAAATAAATCGATATATATATTTAAAAAAAAAGAAACAAAAAAAATAATTAACTGACGATATTGATGTTGGCTCAGAAGTATATGCCGACTCGGATCATATGTTTATACCTGCTACCTTCAAGGAGTCCTTAGTATTATGGGACCTATTTTTGGTGCAGAGTTTCAGCCCAGATCAGACACCAACTACGTAGTGAAATTTTCCAGTCAAAAGATTGTGACTAAAAAAAAACAAACTTTGGTCAAATCGTTACCCACGAAATATAAAAAACAAAACAAAACATAAGACGATTGTAGCCCCGGGAAAATCTGCTGTAGACGAGCGAGGTCTAGGTGGGGTGAAGTCGCAAGCTGTCTTGTCGTCGTGCGCCTTCCTTTACAGGTTGCGGTAATGGGTCCTCTGATTTCGGCTGCTAGTGATCACTGTCTCATAGAGGACAATCGTTCCTTGTCCTGTCCAATTTCATCTAAAAATGAAATTCATCTAGTTCTCAGGGCTTGGCTGCCCTCACTAACCCTTTTTGTAAGGATCGTTTGGCATTGTTCTTGTGAGGTCCACTTCATTTAGCTGAAAATGTTTGAGGTTGTTGTGCAAGCTCCAGTAACTTTGTAATTGTCAGGAATGGGTTTAGCTGAAGTTTGCAAGTACCATTTGTGAAACTAGGTTCCGTCATGACAGGTAACGTAAGGCCGCACATTTAAGGACTATATTAAAATAAAACAAGCTACGTGCGTAATAGCGGAGTTATAATAAGACTTAAAAAAAGCTTAGTTTTATAAACATTTATGGAACCTCACTTTGCTGTATATGATTCACAAGATCTGAACATAATTTAACCTCCATTAAGAAGCTTGATCCAAGAAGATCTGACATGTGGTTCAACCTACGAGATACCAAAGTAAGATTTACACTCGGTATCATATTAAAGGGTCTAAAGAAGCCGCCTATTACAGAACCAGGACTTGAAGGAAGATTCTGTGTGCAGTAACATAAACAAAGAAGTGAACTCAGCTCAATTTAAGTTTAGTTTGGTTTGTTTATTTTAACAACACATCAAACATCTTGGGTCATTTCATGCTGGAAAAAGGATTTCTATTTAATATCGATTTCAATATCTTACGTATTAAGGTTAAAATTTGTGAAATATAATTGGAATCCGTGTTTTGACCCTAGCTTGGGTGTTAACTATTTGCCCATAACTGGGACCCTAACAGGTGCTACCACCTCGGGTCAGAATGGATCTGGGAACACTAACAATTAACTAGTGGTTCCACGCTCCTCAAAACGTCCTAATCAGAGGCCTTGCTGCCGGATGTAGTTTATCATTATACCAGGACGCCTGAACTTATGATATAACACAAAACAAGTAGATAACTGAAACAAGAAAGAAGATCGAGCGTTCAGCGAAGGACTCGAAACCACATATCTTCGATTTGACCGACGTTAAATTGACTGAATCTAGAACAATATAAACGATTATTTCATATATGAAAAATTTAGTCACGTATTTTTATCATTGTTAATGCAAAATTACAGTTTTTAGCCTGACAAAAAGCTACTTAAAGTGGCCCAACACCTTAATAATATCGATATCAGCGAGAAAATGAAAACTCACTTGATCTGCGAAAGATCATGGAAACAAATTTCAAGTAAACGCTATCTATTACATGAGTTAAGAATGTCATTGTGTGTTTTTACAGACTGCCTTTTCCCCATTAAGCTGCTGGTGAATGGGAGTTTTTATCGAGTTATCTTCACTAGACTGGTTGGCAACCAAGGCGAAATAGTCCAGTCAGCTTTGTTATTTAAAGGAAAGCTGGTTGAAACAGAGTTGGATTTAAATGAGATTAGTACGTATCTGAACTCAAATACACACAAAGACAACGAACCTGACCGAAATTCGAACCCGGGGCGTTGATTTTTCTTTTCGAGCCTAGAAACCGATAATTGATATATAAGTTTAAAACTTTCTTTTATCGACGATACGAAATGCAACAGAAACTAATTTGGAAATCATCCATTGTTTTATCTTCACGACACACGCAAGAACGCATCATGTATTCCGGTCATCACAGTACGAATACTGTTCTCTAGAAATAAAGTAAATCGAAGCTGTGTTACCCTGTGTTACCCTGATAACATGCAATGATACTGTTTTTTTTTTCCTGTTCAATTAACTTTCATTTTATTTATAAACTTCTTGATTACTTACAATTGAGTACCAAGGAAGATGACACGCTGCCAACTCTGCAACAGGAGTTCTTTTGATGTGCGTGCGTTTGAGAAGATAGGTGTATTGACCGATTGATCGCGAGCAGTAAAAATCGATTGTCCCTTGGCTTCTGTAATAGGCCTGCGTTGATTTGGTTTCAGCGTCGACAAAACACTGCAGGGAGTTCAGGTTACGAGGGTCTATATTACACCTTCGTTTGTTCGCCGAGTTAATTCAGGGGAGTAACCCCCGTAACTTTGATTGCAAATAGGAACGCGCGAATAGTCCTGATATTTACAGCGAATTGAAATTAAATTTAGGCGGGAAATATTTTTGGAGTTTTTGGCAATTACGTCTTCAGATCGGAGAGCAGCAGTAGGTCGACCGATCGATAGAATCAATTATAAGTAAGGTTTCAAATAGAAATGTCGCGGTTTCGATCGTTTTAATCAAGACAGGTTTGACATAGTTTTTTTTAGATTTCCGAAAAAAAACATCAGCATATTTCTAGGTTATTAATACTATCGTACGTAATTAAATAACAGATGACTTGAATTTAACATTTCAATGTGCGGACATTGTTCTAAAAGTTAACAGGAATCTGTATAATTAGTAAGATGCTGCATGTTTAAGCACATACTGTATGTTAGTACAAACGGTAATTAATATCCTAAAAGTAAAATACTTCAATGGTAAGTTTGGTTGGTTCGATAAGGTCAAATTGGTAGCTGATCTCAAAAATACTTTACAATCTGCTGTTAACTGGGGCAAGAAATGTCTTGTTAATTTTAACATCCCCGAAGCGAAACTACTCTCGTTTAATCGTTTGAGAGAACACATTCTGTCTTCCATTAGTATGGCTGATGCTAACCGCCATGACAGGGAATCATTACGCCTTATCGTGCTAACGTTTTCTGCTGATATAAAGCAGATAGATTATATTGAATCAATTGTTAGGTCCGCTTCTAGGAAAGTTGGTTCACTGTGTCATGTTAGATAATTTTTCTCGCCAGAATCATTTTTACATTTCTAAGTTTACCATTCGTCCATATTCGATATTGCTGCCACCCTGTTTTTGCTATGTATTTAGATATTCTTGATAAAAAAAAAAAAACAGAGAATCTGCAATGTTATTGGTCCTGACCTGGCATCTCGGCTTTAGTCACATCCCCATCGCCATAAGGTAGCTTCTTTGCACCTTTTTTATAAGTATTTCTATTGTAATTCTTCTGGTTAAATTTCCTCTTTAGTACTTAGACATTATGAATTCAATCGTACTACTTGATTGGCGGCAAGGACTCATCATAGATGAAATATCTATATGTACACTTAAGATCTATGCTAACAATTTCTTTTCTCGCCTGGGTTGAAAGGATTTAAAAAAAAAACTTTTCTCTGTATATTATCAATAAAAATTAAGGGTCGCCTGTTATAAAAAAGTAAAATGTGCGGAACAATGTTGCCTGTAAGTAACATTGATTTGTGGTGAGTCCAGTATATCAAAAGTATACGTTCTAAACACTATCACAGCAGAGCATCAAAGAAGAAAGGTGCATTAGCGGTTTAACCTAAGGTTCGAAGAAGGATGGTCCTCGCTGAAACATATACGCTTCACTCGCTCGAAGTTATTTTTAACTGTCAATCTGAGAAAGAAGTTGTATACAGCTAACAGTTTAGATATTTCTGAACGAGTCTGGCGCCATATTTGAAAGTCTCAGTCCGTAGAGACGAAGATCACGAATGTTTTTCTATAAATATTTTCATGGTAATTGTTCCGATGAGCTTTCCTCTTTGGTTGTTAACAGGGGCAAGAAGTGGCTTGTTAATTTTAACATCCCCGAAACGAAACTACTCTCTTTGAATCATCTGAGAGAACACATTCTGCCTTCCATTGGTATGGCTGATGCTAACCGCCGTGTCAGGGAATCATCGCGCTTTATCGAGATAACGTTTTCTGCAGACATGAAGTTGGAATCAATTGTTAGAATTTATGAATTTAAATGTACTACTAGATTGGCGGCAAGGTCTCATCTTTTTATAGATAAAATAGCTAGATGTAAGCGTAAGTTCTATGCTAACAGTTTCTTCTCTCGCACCTGTGGATCTCCTTTCTGGCTTCTTGCTTTCGAGTTATCTTTGATAAAAAAATGTAAATGCTATGTCAATGGTTATCTTCTATCTTCTTAATTCCCGTTCTTTTTTTGGTTCCCTCCACTTGATAATGTTTTCTTATTTCTCATATTCTTTCACACATAGTAACCCCTGCATCTTAGTGGCTTTATTACCTTGCTTTGGGTGGAATAATTAAAAAGAAATGATGCATATATCTATCCGGTTAAATTTGGATATATGAATATATTAACAAAACTACCTACATGCCTTGTTTGCGAACTCTACATACATTATCTGCATAAATGCCTTTTCAGGGTTAGCTTCTCTCGAATATATTCAAAACTGTCTAAAGATAAGGTTTTCGAAATGCCAAACTGTTAAAGACAACATTTGAATTGCACATTTATTTTAACCATAATATTTTGCCCGATTTATTCTACAATGTCTTTCCAAAAAAGATGGTAAAAATACATGAAGGCCAATGTACCAATTGGCTTGGCTCATTCTCAGCATCGCGAGCCACACAGACTATTCTGTAACCTGTGTAATCCAGATGATTCCATATTTATATACTAGAAATCTTTCAAATTCTCTTTCTCACTGTAGAAAGAAAATTACTTTGCACTGTTTTCCAACATGTTCAACTGTTTAACCTGCTGACTCATTTAGTTGTCTCATTCTCCAGACAGTGATTTATTGATTATATAGTAGTGCCGGGTATGACGATAAACTACAGCCAACAGTAAGGCCTCTGATTGGGAGATTGGAGTTTTTGAGGAGCGTGAAACCACCTCTTAATTGCTGTTGTTCCCAGATCCACCTTGACCCGGGGTGGTAGCGCCTGTTAGGGTCCCAGGTATGGCCAAATAGTGAACTCCCAAACAAAACGCTATAAACGTGAAGAAATATATTTTTGTGGTGAAAATACTAGGAATACATTTTTATATAAAAAAAATTACTAACTATACAGTCTATAGAATTATACATTTTATAGCAAAATGAACAATAATACATTTTATCAGTAGTTGAAGCCATACAGTTGCACGCAAAATATATTTCGTTGAAGCCAAAACATTGCGTTCAATTATTTAGATTTTGGCGTTAAATAACCCATATAGGTTTATGCGTAAAATAAGGAAAATCAAACAACCAAAATATTCTATAATTTTTTAAAATATCAAACTGTATTCCAAAATATAATTTCAACAAAACTACAATATAAAATATCTATATAACTGCTTTTCGTATTCATGTTCACATACACAGGTATACGCAAAGAAGCTGCGTATCATCTACCATGTATTTACTTGTGAAAGCATAACAACATATATCATATTTTTATTGCTTCAAAAATCCCAGGAAAATTAAGTTTTGGCATTATATGAACCATAGTTTATATTCCGTAAAAAAAAATAAAAAAATTGATATATGAAGAGCATGAAACACTTCTTTTTCCCTTCGTCGCCCGACTTTAAAAAAAAAAAGCCTATTTTTTCTAAAATGATTTTATTGGCATTATATTATACACGACAAGTTATTGTAATCTTAGCGCATACACTGTTTCTCTTAAATGATAATTTTTCTCACTGAGTAACTAGCATTACGGCCTTGCGCCAGACTTAGCTAAGTTTATTCCATAATTTCTATGTGTGAATTGCCACAGATAACTGCGTTTTTTTTTCAACTGACGTGAGTTGCTGTTGCCTGTAAAGGCGGACATTTTAAATTCTGACTTTTTAAGTCAGAGACACAAGTTCTCGTCAATTGAAAGATCGGCGCTACAGAATCTTTCTAACCTCTGCCTTCTTTTTATTTTTATAGCAGTCTAATTTATACTTTTGTGAAGAGTAATGAATATCTGTTATTGCTCGGAATCTCGATTCACTGACAATTTCGCTGGGTTGACTGTTGCATTCTACTTCTGTCAGATGAAGCTCAACTTAGAGAGAGCCTCTATTTATCAATTCTGCTGCTGACATGAACGAAGGTTGCATTTATGAGTTGTAAATTAAATTTTCCATTTTGGCACTTTTGACAAAATCGATTGAAACTGCATAATAAACGAGATCAATAACACTTAGCAGAAGCATAAACACATTTGAGAAAGTTCGATCTCAAAATCATTCAGTCGGTCAGTTAAATTAAATTCAACGACAGACTGTAATTTACCGGAAACAAAAGAAAATTGTTGAAATGTAAGCAGATCATGTTCTCGTTCGTATCTTTGTAAATTCATATCGCTATAATAATTTATATAAGTTTCCCAAGATCAGCTATTATTATTATTATTATTATTACAACACTTAGAGCAGGGCGCGATTTAAGAAAGAAAAAGGCAATGTATAATAAGGATTCAACAGTATTTCTGTCTTCAAATCATGTTTAAAAATACATACAAGTATAAAAATATAAAATGCATATATAATGCATGTTGAGGAAAAACGGTTGTGCTGGTATTCAAATGACAAATCGAATGAAACTCAATCAGCGTAAATGGACTGCAACTTAAACGTGAGTACCATAATGGGGATCATACTCATCACAAAATTTCCCGTTAGTTGATTAGTTTGTAAGAGCGATTTATCAAACAGTTTAGTATAATTTTCCTATCTTCTTCTTCTTCTTCTTCTTCTTCTTCTTCTTCTTCTTCTTCTTCTTCTTCTTATTATTAAATACAATATGGCAAACAATAATAAAGAGCGCTAGAGAAAAGCAATGTATAACAGCAAAAGTTGCAATATAAGCTCTGGCAAAAAATGCAATAAGAATAACAGAAAAAATGCAATATGAGGACTGGTAAAAAATGGTTATTGAGACATTAGGTTTATAAGTCACACAAAATTCATACACAGATGTCCCTCAAGGATAGATGGCCTAGCGGATAAAGGGGTTGGTTAGATCTAGTGACTAAACCAAAAGAGTTGTGAGTTCAATGTGGTGAACCAAAACTTGGAGAATTAAAGACATACGGAAGAGGCATGGCACGTGCTACTAGAACAATCTACCCCGGTCGGCGAATTTAAAGGATTCCGTTCGAAATTCCAATCATCTGAAGAATGCCGGAGCGTACAACGGTCGAAACCTTGAGAATATAGCATTGAAGATGAAGATAAGAGACCGAATAATGTAAATAATGCAAGCAATCATAGTAACTCATCTCAGAGATATAGACAGATATTGAAGAAAAATTCTAATTACCCGAACAAGGCCGGAGCGTAAAACGGCCGAAACGTTCTGAATATGGCAATGAAGATGAGGATAACAGTCCGAATAATGTAAATAATTTAAGTAATCATAACTCATCTCAGAAATATAGACACATATAAAGGGTTCAGTTTGTCATTCCAATCACCTGACGAAGGCCGGAGCGTACAACGGCAGAAACGTTGTGAATATGGCAATGAAGATGAAAATAACAGACCGAATAATGTAAATAATTCAAGTAATTAAAATATCTGCAATCAGATATTGAAAAAAAATTCCAGTCACCTGAAGAAGGCCGAAGCGTATAACGACCGAAAGGTTGTGAATATGGCAATGAAGATGAGGATAACAGTCCGAATAATGTATCTAATGCAAGTAATTATTATTATTATTATTTGAGAGAAAAGCACAGTAACAAAGTGACACTAGTGTACAAATAAACGAAGCCGAATATACCCATTATGACAGCTAGTGTGATAAGGTAATGTCAGACACTTGCATCAAAACCAAATGTATGCCATATACTGACAGGTTTTGATAAAACAATACATAACTTTGCAGGTGGGGCACAGTTAAAAACAATATTTAGATCGGGTAACTCCGTACTCTCAGCCGGTCTCCAATTGAGGGTGTACTCAAATATTTACATATAAATCCTTAGTCAAAGCGGATACTTCATCCGTCAAACTTATGAAAACAAACCTCCCGACACCCAGCAGTGATGTCCCTCCATTACAACCGCTTCTGAACAGAAATGCACAGTGCCTCAGCCCCTAGAGGGTAAGCCTAAGTAGTTAAAGTCAGGCAAATGACAAGCTACTAAATGGTACTGAACGGGATATTGACTGTAGTCGATCTTAATTCACCAGTACAATACATATAGATCACAGCACCTCTAATCAGTTAAGATCAGAAGCCATAAGAATCATGTGCAGTATAGCGTCAGGGCATTATTATTATTATTATTATTGTTAGATTACCTTTAGTGTAGCAGAAAACCATGGCAATTTCATCACAGGAGGTGTCTTGTTTCCACTCCTCAATGTAACAATTGAATATATTCATCTCTCGTCCGAAGCATCGTATCCCGGACATCATAATTGGAAGATTTCCCGGGTTTTTCATACTGTAAAAGAAGAAAAAAATAATAATAAAAGTACGATGGAATTCAGCAGGATTTGGTTTCAAAACAAGAGAAGTGATAATTTCCTTGAATAGAAGAAGGGCTTCATGGTTTCAAAAAAGAGAAGGGATAATTTCTTTGAATAGAAGAAGGGCTTCATGGTTTCAAAAAAGAGAAGGGATAATTTCTTTGAATAGAAGAAAGGCTTATTGTTTTCAAACGAGAGAAGAGATTGGGTCTTTGAACAGAAGAGTCTATGGTTTCAAACATGTGGAGGGATAAAGACTTTATATAGAAGAAGGGCTTATTGAGTTCAAACAAGAGAAGGGATAAGGTCTTTGGCAATAAGGACTTATGGATTAAAAAAAAAAAGATATAAAAAATAGAAGTGTAAGTTCTTTGAAGAGAAGTTATGGATTTCAAAAAAGAAAATAATAAGTTCATTGAACAGAAGAAAGACTTATTGGTTTAAAAAAGGGAAGTGATAAGGTTTTTGAACAGAGGGATGACTTATTGACTTCAAACAAGAGAAAGGATAGGTTCTTTGAAACGAAGTGCTCATTGGTTTTAAACAAGGTAAGTCAAAAAATAGTTAATGAAAAAAAAACAACTTTTTTATTCTAAAAAAATGTTAATACGAAATAAAATTTAGAATCCGAAATATGCATTAAACAACCCGCAAAGGGTTTGCCATATCCTTAAATAGGTTACAAACAGACAAAGTTGGTACTCGTGTAAAGGAACAGCAACACGCGCGCAATAAAGAAACAAAGGTTTATTGTAAAAGCGGATACATTACTGAAAGATAGGGAATCGGGTGGCAGGCTAGTAATTTATGAAGAAAGGATACATACCTTACCTTCCCGTGAGGCAGAAGGCCGCTTCAATGCGGGGCAAAACCGAGCACGAGCAAAAATTCCCCGTAAACCCCGTATACGTGGGGTTGGCTAGTTGTGTTACCACGTCAGACGAGGCTATGTCGAAGGGCAGTGTCTCGTCTGGGTTCCTCTCTGCCCGAAGGCAGAGAGTTCGACCAACACAGCTGGAGGCGAATCTCCAACTAATTGCCGAAGAAAGGATATTTACCTTACCTCCCCGCGTGGCAGGATGTGGCCTTTTTTAATGCAGGGGTCAAAACCTAGCCCGTAGGCTCGGGCAAAAATTCTCCGTAGACTAGCAGTCTACCACCTCAGACGAGACTCTTCCCTTTATCATAGCCTCGTCTGGATTCCTCTCTGCCTTCGGGCAGAGAGTTCGACCAGCACAGCTGGAGACGAATCCCCCAGGCATATCTTGTGCTCACTATATAGTCAGTCCACATAGGCGATAGGGAGTGTGGGACATTCTATTACAACACCTCCCACTGAGCTAATTTTTCCCATGAAATTTTGCTCAATGCCTCTTCTTTTTGGGGTCAGGACATAATTGTTTGACTTTTTCCCTCTTTCTAGAACTTTTCCGTTTCACCAGCTAAAAAGGGTTGATAAACCGTAAATGTACAAATCAATCAATCTATCTATTTTATGATAAGCGCAGCAGTAACAGATAGACATTTATAAATAAAGATGACCATATCCTGGCATCTCTGATCTAACTCTAACAGCTCAATGGTTTGTAATATTCAATAACCCCAAAATTAAACTGTTAATGTTGCAACATCACCGAGCAGACCCCGAATGTTCTGTCATGTTGAACGTTTCCAGGTTCAATGATGTTCCTTGTCTTGAACGTCTATTTAGACTCAAGTCCATCCAAAACATCAAGAGAAATTCCTATATACGATCAATCGTTAAAGATGCTGGCAAAAATAGTCAGTTCCTTGTGCTACTCTGGGAAGTAACTCATTCATCCTGCAATACAAAGTGAGATTAAACAGAACAAGGAGTATTGTTACCATATCTGAGCTTGAAATTCTCAAATCTTCACTTTTCATGCTTTGACAGAATTCAAAAGCATTTAGGAGGCCTTGTGCGTGATGGAGTTTCCCGCCGTACAACCCCTCTCCCCACAGTCGAAACGTTTCTTACTTCTTGCTACTCTATCGCTATTGCCATGGCAAATGTTGTGACGAGCTTCATTCTTTAGTTCCACCACTTCAAACCTTCACAGCTAGAACCCATGCCGCTTACACAGGATCGACTCATTCCCTTCGTATTCCATGAGTAATGAGGAAGTTTTACTCGGACATCTTCTCCTCGAGAACGGTTACTGTGTAGAACAGACTCCCGCGTGGATGCTTCCCCGATTACTATAATCTTCAAGTCCAGCATCAGTTGTTATCTACGCTCCTTATCCTTATAATATTCACTAACTTGGGTATGTATTGATTTAATTTTCACTAACAAACAAACAAACAAAAAAACAAAAACAAACAAACAAATAAATAAAATAAAATAAAAAATAAAAAATTCTGGCTTGTGGAAATTTTTTTTTTCTCGTGGGGAACAATGAAGAAGAGAAATGAATCTCCGATGCTGCGATTCACAAAGAGAAATGAAATAGACAAAAAAGGCGTTAAGAAAAATTTTGAATTTCGATATTAGCATTTCTTGCAATTGGAATATGATGATGTTTTTACTTACGTTTTAGCGATTCCTTCTGAGAAACCCATTTGACGACAGGCCGTTTCGGCTGCATCATTGTTCCAATCTGTACCGCATACCGTTCCGACTTTTCCATCAACCACAACTTCGACCCAGCCCGTGTTTTCACTGCCTCCACCAAGGCGAAGACGAGGCTCTGCCAAAAGAGAAATAAAACAAATACATCAAAGACCCCCAAAATTCGAACAAAGACAGGATTTTATGGGATATTTATTCGGTATCAAAAGATTGGAATAATCATTCAATCTATCTATCTATCTATCTATCTATATATATATATATATATATATATATATATATATATCTAAATATAAAAAGTCAACACTTAGAGGCGACAGTCCGTTTCATGTTAGAAGCAATCGTCAGACACTTTTATATTTACACATGCTCTATCTCTGATATTGAGCACTTTATCCCAGAAATATAGCACAGCTTAAGACTATATTTCTTTATATATATGTCTATATTTGTGAGAGGAGGTATTATGTACATTATTTACATTATTCGGACTATTGTCCTCATCTTTGTAGCCATATTTATTACAAAGTTTCGGCTGTTGTACGCTCCGGCCTTCTTCAGGTAGTTGGAATGTCGAACTGAACCCTTTATTTCACTCACTGGGGTAGACTCTTCTAGTTCCAGGTGCCATGTTTAATGGATTCAGTTATCAGTTATCTCCTGTTAAGTTCCCTCTGAAGGTTCTCCACTGCATTAGCCGGGTATTGAACTCACACTCTTTGGGTCCTGTCACTGGATCTAACTAACGCCTTTATCCACTATGGCATGTGTCCTTGAGTATGAATTTCTGGGTATTATAAACCTAATGTCTTCAGCAACCACTTTTTATCATTGCTCATATTGCAATTTTTGCTGTTATCATTCCATGTTTTTAGCAGAGCTCATATTGCAATTTTTGTTGTTATTATCGCTTTACCCTGGCACTCCTCATTACTGGTTCCCATATTGTATTCATTTCTATGCTTGGTCGGCTCAGGAGATTTTTTTGTGGCCTAGCATATGTGCTGATTCCTTAAGTTTACGAATTTTCCAATGGTGTTCTTTTTCTCTCTCTTTCTCTCTCTCTTTCCATATATATATATATATATATATATATATATATATATATATATATATATATATATATATATATATATATTATTTATTTAAAAGACTTTTTTATGTTTAACGTTCATTTTATAGATACAAGTATTTAAGTAAATGTTCTGTTTATAATAAACAGTATTTAATGTTAGTATATAATGAATGTCCGAAAATTTTCATAGAAAATATAAATTTCGCTGACGTAACCTCTCAGCCACAAGGTCGAATTTACGGCCTATAAACTTCAATCTTCCATGAATCTCGTACATTCATAACTGCTCTGGCGTATCAAATGTAAACAAATGACGTCATAAATTAAATCTTCCACAAATCTCAATTTATTTATTAAAAGCTTTTTATGTTTAACAAATTTTTTATAATATTTAGTATTTAAATAAATGCCCGAGAAATTTTAATAAAATATTCGTCCTTTTGAAAATATCTTTTTCAGGCCTGTAATGTTATTTAATACTCATTATAAACAGAGTCCTTTGAAAATACTTGTATCTATAAAAAGAACGTTAAACATAAAAAATGTCTTTAATAAATAAATTGTCGGACTTTTGTCCATTTCTTAATATATATATATATATATATATATATATATATATATATATATATACTACATTTTTTTGTGTGTAACAATTTAGGGGCAGTGTGCAAAATAACGATGACTCACCCGGTGCCGTGCTAATTTAGTCTCATTGACGCGTACTGATATCCCTACCGAAGAGGGTTCGTACATATAATATGCCACATATGTCTTCAAGAATACTTTTTTCATTTTTAGAAATTAATTTTAAACTTTAAAAATCATAACTAAAAAGAAGAGGTAAAAATTCTTGTAATAATTCATTAGGCATCGAAAGAGTTTTTTTTATTATTCACACTACATACTTCATTTATATTATTTATGATAGCAATTAAAAGGTTATACAATAGATACTTTTAATGCAGGGTTTATGTTAAGATTCCGGGCATATCTTGTGGAATTTGGTAATAGCTTGAGAAAAAAAATTAAAAATTATCTGATGATACGTTGCTCTTAGTAGGACGAGATATAAACAGACTCTGAAATTACAGTTTGAATATACGGTATGTCAAAGATTAATTAGACCTTCCAATGTTTATACAAAACATATTGTGCTTTGGGAAATTTTGCAGTAAATATAATTTTGCTTGTAAATATGTAGCATTTATGAGGATAATATACAGATAACTTTCCTTGGGTGTTTATAAATTGTTCACTATCCAATTACTAACGTTAACAACTATTTTAAATTACAAAATTGTACTTGGATTAAACAAAAATTACTTACAATATAATACACATTACTTATAATACATTCGTTTTGGTCATCAACTGTTTTTTTCGTCTTTTCTTCTTCAACTATTTCTTAATTGAAATGTGGCTATACATTTTTATCTCTTTTCTTCCTTATTTTTTCCTGCTTCCTCTTTCGTAACTCTTCTTCTACTTCATCACCTTCTTCTTCTTCTTTTCCTTCTTCTTCTTCTTCACATCTGTTTTTTTTCATTTAGACTTCATCTCTTTTATCAACTATATGTTGTAACCCTTTTTTGCTGCTTATTGTTTGACAAATCTACTTTATTTTTTTCGTCTTTTTCTAATCTGCTTCTTCTTTTTTTCCCTTGAAGACTTTTCCCCATCATTCATTAACACGATGATTTCCTTCATCGAAATTCCAAAGTCCAGATCTTGGGTGAACATTGGATGATAATAATTAGAGAAATTAATCAAACTATTCAAATTTCATATTTAATGTTTCGGCCGATTCGCTCTTCTGACTTTCTTGTATTCTCTGAAGGTTTGAGGTTAAGCATAATTATGATTCGTTGAATTTTCGGACGAGTAACCTGCTACTGTTGAAAGTCCTCAAATAATGTGATTTCTGTTATTTGGTACAACCCTTTTTGTGCCAGACCACAAGATTCAATGAAGGATAGTAATCGCACGAAACCATTACTTAACAAAGGGTTTGTAAAGAGACTTCCGTCACTACTAAAAAGAACGAGAACAATTGCTGGACTAGAGAATCCTTATTTCCTGAAAACTGTTTCAAGAAAAAGATTTTATAAATGTAACACTATCCGTTCGGTCAATTAATACATAATATTTTCTACTTAGAAACGGTTGTTTTCAAAACTACCATTACTAAGACACTGACGATGTTGAAACATTTTTTAAAACTGGGTCTCTGTTGTAGCATTTTTAGGGACCATAATGGCTTATGTGACAATTCATATAAATACAGTAGTAAATACTGTATGTAGGTCTGCAGTCGGAGATTTGTCTCCAACTGTGCTGGTCAAACTCTCTGCCTCCGGGCAGAGAGGATCCCCAAATGTCGAAGGGCAGAGTTTTTTTCCCGGAAACAGCTACCTGGCCCCGTTTTATACGGGGTCTACGGGGAATTTTGGGCCGAACATACCGGCTCGGATACCCAACATTAAATTCGGCCTTGTGTCTGACCGCGTAGGACGGTTTGTAAATATCCTGCAGTTGGAGATTCGTCTCCAGCAGTGGGGGTCAAATTCTCCGCTTTCGGGGAGAGAGGATCCCCAGACGAAGGGCATAGTCTCGTCTCGGGAAACAGCTACCCGACCCCGTTTTATATGGGGTATACGGGGAATTTTTGGCCGAGCATTCCGGCTCGCAAATCCCACATTAAATTCAGCCTTGTGCCACATCTGACCGCATGGGCTGTAGGTAGATATCCTGAAGTTGGAGATTCATTGTGGAATTCATTGACTTACTTCTAGCAGTTGACTACTACTTCTACGCGCCGCTGGCGAATCTTTATGTGTTGTTCTTGTCCAAAGTATTATCGTTCATTACCAACATTCGTTTAATTTTTCTATTCAGTAAACTTGCCTAACTTACAACAGTCCACAAACCGATACTTGTAGAAATTAAATCATATTTGACAACACTGTCAGATTGTTTTCGGTATAGTGAATTATCCCCTAAAATGAAGCCTACAAGTGAATTGCATTAAAAAGGCAAGGTTGAGCTGAAAGGAACTAACAGTTCTTATAATCCACTCGATCGTACATGGTCATCTAAAAATATCAAAGCTCGGACGACGCTGTAATCGAAGGGTCGAATACCTGCCGTGTTTGCTTGTTTTCACCTGACAGGTGTTGTCTTTCAGCGAAATACAAAATATGCATTTCCCCTTACCGTGAGAGTTGTAACAGAAGGCTCCGGCTACCGAGCTGATCGTAAAATCGGACAGGCACATCTCGTCGGTGACATTGCACTGGTCAAGGCTGGTTTCGTTGCCAACGCAGTCAAGCGATGAGGACACAAAGAGGGGGCCACTCTCCTTGCGTTCGTAATGCAGCGAAACACCGCCCTCGTAGCCTAATTGTTTGCATACGACGCTGGCACTCGCGTCTTGCCAATTCATGTTACACACGTAGCCATCCACACCGTACTTTTGAATAATGATCATCCCCGCTTCCTGGATAATATCCGAAGATAAACGTAGGGGTTCATCTGTAAAAAAATAAATAAAAGAAAAAAATTAGTTTTAATATCACATAGATTTATAATGTTCCTGTAATGCAATAAATCCAGCTAGATATATTTATAATTCTAAACGGTTTTGGCAATAGGTATTAACACTAGATGGCGGTAGAATGGTTCAAGAAATAGTTAAGCCAAGAGAATTGATTGAAAAATAACTTATCGCTAACCAGTGTAGCTATGTCAAAAGTATTTCTAATGATATACGTTCTGTTCCTTATAATGAAAATTTTCTCCTATAAATATTAGCATACCTCAAAAATTGTTTTTTATCATATGCTTATAATTATATTCTGTAAAACTGGCTATATTTGGTGGTGTGAAAATGCAATCAATTCAAGGCAACCAACCCATACATATCTTTATAATTATGAACAGTTTGGATATACATATTAAACCTGGGTCGTGATAGTTTGTAACGCTTAAACGAAGTCGTCAAATCATGACGATTGCGTTTAAGCTTAAAGCAGATAAAGACAATTTTCTATCTTCTAATTTGGTTTATTTTATTTTATGGCATATCTCCACCTGAATGAGTTATTTAATGCCGACAACATATTTTTTAGAATGGATTTTGTATGAATAGAATATGAATTCTTTGTAAGAAATCAGATCAGGTTCCATCGACATATTTTTATAAAGACGTTTTTTTGTCGAGAGTAATTACTGGTAATAATATTTTTTTTTTTTCAAAATGAATTGCTGGTAATATTTTTTTTGATTCTTTTTTCCAAAATGTAAGCTTTTACTTCTACACTTTTAAAGTGTTTTAACCCCAGAAGAAGAGGATTCCTACCTTTCCCAAGGCTAACCGCATGTAAGTAATTATAATAGATTCGAATGGAATTCGAACGCGGCTCTCCCTATTTCTCAACCCTAGCCGCTATCTATTACTCCATTAATCCACCATGCCTCCTAATACATAATTAGTTAATCAAATTAAATAAACTCTAGATCAGGATTATAAAAATGTAAAACAATAACCATGAGTTAAATCTAAGAAAAAGCCGGTTCAATTTTCCTGCAATTTCCATAATCAAACGGTAACCTATATATACAGGATGTTTAAAGAGTAGAAACATGATCATTTAAGGAGTGAAATTTACAACGACTATTTGATTGATTTCTATGTGATAATGCAGTATTTATTTTTAAGGTGGTAAGAAGCATTAGAAGAAAACATATGTCAACAGTCATTTTTGTGATAAATGTATAGCGACATTGGACTCGAGCACTCGCTGACCAGGCAATGAATGTCGAATGTTTCCTTATACGGAAACGGTTATTATTTCCTTTACCATTATTATTCTCTTTTCAAATTCATCATTCCTTTTTTTCTATCTCATATTTGTGCTGATTACTTTGTTTAATTCTGTATTTTCATATCATTTCTTAATATTTATGAATGTGTTTCTTTTCCTATGAGTCCATTCTGTTTGTTCCTTTTGTAACGATATTTACGTTTGTTTTCCATGTAATCTTAGTGGCTTCCTTAATTATCATTGTCAACCGTTATTCATATCAAATGTATTATTTTTTTTTTTTGTTATTCCACAAGACTGAAATTCGTTCATCGTTTCTACGCGGAGTTCGGAAATATTCATTCTAATCTTAGAATATTTTTCAAAATAAATTATCGTTTTGTTTTATCTTAATTTTAAAGTCGAATTTCACTGAGTAAGCTACCATTATGTTTCGGCTGGTCGTAAATCTTTTCTATTTTCTCATCAAAAATTTCCATGACTGCTTAAAATTACGAAGTTGATGCTTATAATTAAATAAAATTTAGAAAGTATTTTCTGCATAATTTGATTATTATCCAAACTAGTCTGTCTGATATATTGTCGAAACTTAGATGACTAAAAACCTCACGACGCTAGACTTATAATAAAGCACTAGATGACTTCTAGCTGAAAGAGATTTCTTTGTTTTGGAGTTGCCTTAATGTCTATCAATTGCCAGGTGTTGTTGATCAGTTCCATCATTAATCTACTTTTTAGTATTCAGATATATGAAGGTAAAATGTATATATGTTTCTGTTCTTGAATTATTTTTAATGTCCAAGTTTTTTTTATCGCTCCTGGACAGTGACAACTCATCATCAGTGGCAAGCTTGATGAGGCAATGCGCATAGACTTCATGAAGCAATTCAAATGAGGCAATGCACTTAGACTTTTGGCAGACAATGACACAGCAGAAGCGACAGGATAATTAATTTCATCATCGTTTTGAGTTTTGAAAAAGGTGGTCAGAATCATTACAAGAAAAAATGTCAACTGCCATTTTTATGATAAATATATAGCGACATTGAACTCAAGCACTAATTTCCGGTGAAGCTGATTGATTGCTTATCATCGATTTCAATAATCATCCTTTTACTTTCATTATTTACGTTACTCATCGCCATATTCACAACATTTCGGTCT